GGTATATCCTTGTATCTTATTTTACACATAATAGTTTGTACCTCTTAATGCCTTAATCCCGTATTGCCCCTCCCTTCTCCCCTCTCCCCACTGGTAACCACTAGTTTGTTCTCTGTATCTGTGAGTCTGCTTCTTTTTTGTTATATTCACTAGTTTGTTGTATTTTTAAGTTCAGATATATTTTATTTGACCCATGGTTTTTAAGAAGATTTTCATTTGAATGCCTTTAGAGGAGACATAAATTCTTCAGGTCAGCACACCCCCTATCACTCCTTACTTCGCATATGTATAATAATCTACTTGGCCATCCTAGGCATTTGAGTTTTACACCCCTGGCTCGTCTATGACAGCTCACAATGAATATCATTTATTGAGTGTCAGTTCTATGTGCCAGACACTATGCTAGGAATTTTGAAGCATTATCTCATTTTCATCAACGCCTATAAGGTTGATGTTCTTTGGCCAATTTAACAGATGAAGAAACTGAGGCTCAAAAGTAAAGTCACTTAACTAGTGCCACGTTTCTAGAGAGCTGGGCATTCATGCCCATGTCAGCCTGATTTCAGAGCTCTTTAGGAGTGAGCTGGCACTACAGGTGCTTCAGAGGACACATTTTGACCACTAAGTCTCTATGCGATCTTGGATAAGTTGTTTAAGTTCCTCTGAGCCTCTAGATGTGGATGTTGGCGAAAGGAATATTTCTGGATGGGAGATGATGTGAAATGGTAACTTTTCATCCCTGCAAATGATCTTACCATAGAAAACAGACACCATGACTCATTCGTGCTGAACCCTGGCACAGGAAGTATTCTCCAAGAGTAAAGAATTCTTTGCGCTAAAAGGGATCCTCTAAATCCAGGGCTTCCCAAACCAGTCAAATACATCAGAGTCTTCTGATTCTCTTGTGAAATGTAAATTCCCAAGGACTCTAACCCTCACCCTAATTCTACCCGTACCGCTAATCCTGATCCCATTCCTGTCTGACTCAAAAGCCCTGACTCTTAGTATCTCATCCAGCTCAATACATCCTGCTAAGGTGGAGGAAACAGAAGAAGGTCACATCCGTGGTCCTTGGGATGTCCAGCACTTTAATCTCCTTCTTGATTTGGAGGAGGGGAAACTAAGAAGTAAGAGTAGAGAAATGATCTACAAATAGTCGAATTGAAGTGGGGAAGTAGACTGCAGTTTTTAAGTCCTTTGACACGAAAATCAGATAGTAGCACCTCCTCTCAACCATTCTTATCCCAAAGTTACTAAGCTCCTTGATATGTAAAGAGTTCCTAGAAACTGATAAAAGAAGAACTTAATGGGGAAAACAGTGAAACCATACATAAAGGAAACAAGTGGTTTTTAAACATATA